CCTTGTTGAACGCTTGTAAGTGTACAACTAAGGAGTAGGGCACTTGCAAGTATTCAACTTACAGTTGCACACTTTTAATTTTTAAGCAGTCAGTTGCACACTTTAGTTTATCTGCGTAGGTGCTCATCTGCAGTAAAGACTTTACTGTAAATGCCACATTCTATCCAGGATAAGGCGGTGCGCAGCATCACAGCGATGAGGCCCGCCATGTCCGCTCACCTTGTTCTCGCGGCTGCCATGATGGTCAGCATGGGGCTCTCCACTACTTCGCATATTGTGCGCTCACGTGAGTTACCATAGTTACACCAGCACAAGTGTGTGAATGTCGCACTCTTGTAGGTGTATTATCCATTCGTACACTTACGGGGGTAAACGTGTGAATTTTCGAGGTGTACGAATGGATATTCACACACCTACAGGTGGGTGATATTTACACATACACACTTGCGGTTCCAGTGTAGCATTCAAGACAGGGTTGAAAAACACTTTCATGTCCCTGTGGTGGAACAATTAATCACGTAGCATTGAACTGGTGGGGGGGGGGTGAGTAGAAGGGTGACTTTCGTCAAGGGCACATCTGCTTTTATTGTTGTTCAACCAAATACAAAAATAATGCATGTTTGAGGTTTCATAAATTTCCGGACTTCGGCGTGTTTTGGCAAATGTTGTAATTTGACAACTGTGCAGTTAAAACCAATTTTTCTTTAAAACTGCAGAAAAAAGGCCAACCCAGGCACACTGTTTTAACATCGTGCTTGCGACCAGAGACATGCATGTTAGTCTGTTCGTTACAGTTTGTCGGTCGGAATTATGTCCGAGCAATATGGTTCGAACGATCTCTTGTGAAATTCTGTTGTTTCCGTTAAAACCATGACACTTTTCGTTATTATTTGCAGGGCCTGAGATCCCAATGTCTATCGGCGACAGGTTGATAGCACGCGTCCAGTACAAGGAAGACCACAAGGCCGTCCTCTTCTACCTATGCAACCCTTCAAACTCAACGGCCGTTGAGTGTGATACCAGGATGTGGGTGTTCGGCGCCAACCCTGAGGGTCAGCTGCGTTTTGACCACTTCGGAGGGTGTGAGCCGACTGTGAACAGGTGTTCGCACGTTGTAGACGTAAGAATCTTGAGATAGACCCTAGAAAGACCGCACCCCGCAGGATAAGGCCTTTTTCAAAAAGTGCTCGTGACTAACAAGTGGGCGATAAAAATATTTTGCTGATTTCTCGAGGTGGATGTCGTTTTTTTACGGTTTTTCACGTGATTTTGGGGGAATTAATGAGTTGTACTGTGTACTTCCCTGGGCACCCTACTAGCATTCCGCTAGTACGCACTAACTCCCCATCGCGAGTGGGCCTCAACTCCCTTTGTGGAGTGTATAGCAGATTGCCAAAATTGCCAGATTGCTGGACTAATATTTTCTTTTGAATCAAAACATGGTTTTTGGGTCCGATTCCCTAGAGATTGTCGAAGATTATCGCAGATTGACCGGGGTGGGTCTACACAAGATTGCCGGAGTAGTGGCCCCCTCGGAAATACGCCACCACTAAAGTCACCCGCGCCGTGTAAGTTCGGCGACGCTGACATTGAAAAAATTTCACACTGATCTGTCTGTACTGATAGATTGTACATCTCCTTCTCATATCCATTCCATCATTACGAGGGCTTGGCGCCTGCGAGACTCGGGGTAGGCCACCCCGCAGTACACGCAAGCGCTGCAGACAAGATGTTGCCTACCTAGAAGGCGTTATGAGACCTTTCATTGGCTGACCTTAGCAATTTTGTAACGGCCGATGACGGTCGTACTTTTTGGATGATCCAGCCTCAATAAGGGCAATACTTGTAGTTTAAGGACGTTAGTTAGGACAAAATTAATTTTATGTTTATTTTTCAGAACCAGAAGAATGTAACTGGCTGGGTGGACTTCCCTGCCGGTGAGAACGTGTTTGTCGTCGAGCGGCGGGGCGAGGAGCTGGCCGTCTGGCTTCAGGGCCACCCGGAGACGGAGCATCAGGCTGCAGGCTTCGCAGTGGCGGGCCCCAGAACATTGCGCGTCAAGCCCTGGTTCTC